GGTAGCCCATGGCAACCCACTGCCACAGAGGCTGCAGCCTGCGCCATCGACAGCCCAGCTCCAGGTTGAGCTGTTGTTCAGCATCTTAGCTGTAGAGGGCAATGTCACTGGCCCTCATATGTGGGATCCGAACCAGGGCCTTCTGGCGTCCTAAGCCAGCTCTTAACCAACGCACCACTCGGCCGGCCCAAGAACAGGCAACCTTGTTTTTATACCAGCTGAGCCATTTTGCCACCTGTTGGCAGCTCAGTGACGGCTCAGCTCAGGCGCAGCGTCACTGACCCATGTGGGAATCGAACCAGCAGCCCTGTTGCTCAGAGCTCGCGCTCTTAAGCCAACTCTTAACCAATTGAGCCACTCGGCCGGCCCTCCTCTATCCATTTTTTAATTGGGTTTGTTTTTTGGTGTTGAGTTGCATGAGTGTTTTATAAATTTTGGATATTAACCCCTTATCAGATATATCATTGACAAATATTTTCTCCCATTCAATAGGCTTCCGTTTTGTTTTGTTGATAATTTCCTTTGTTGTGAAAAAACTTTTAAGTTCGATGTAGTCCCATATGTTCATTTTTTCTTTTATTTCCCTTGCACACAGGGATGTATCAGTAAAAATATTGCTCAGGGTAATGTCTGCAAATTTAGTTCCTATATCCCTATATTTTCTTCTAGGAGTTTTATGGTTTCAGGCCTTACATTTAAGTCTTTAATCCATTTTGAATTTGTTCTTGTATATGGTGTAAGGAGGTAGTCCAATTTCATTTTTTTGCATGTGTCCAATTTTCCCAGCACTGCTTATTAAATAGACTATCTTTACCCCAATGTAAACTCTTGCTTCCATTGTCATAGACTAACTGCCCGTATATGCCTGGATTTAATTCTGGGCTCTCTATTCTGTTCCATTGATCTATGTGCCTGTTTTTATGCCAGTACCATACTGTTTTGATTATTGTAGCCTTTTAGTATGTTTTATTGTCTGGTAGCATGATACCCCTGACATTGTTCTTATTTCTCAGGATTGCCGTGGCTATTTGGGGTCTTTTATGGTTCCATATAAATTTTAGGATTATATTTTCTATTTCTGTGAAAAGTGCCCTAGGTAGTTTGATAGGAATTGCATAGAATCTATATATTGCTTTAGGCAGTATGGGCATTTTAACTGTATTAATTCTTCCTATCCATGAGCAAGGTATGTGTTTCCATTTATTTGTATCTTCTTTTATTTCTTTCTTCAGTGTCTTATAATTTTCTGAGTACAGATCTTTTACTTCTTTGGTTAAATTTAAGTATTTTATAGTTCTTGAAGCAATTGTAAATGGAACTGTTTTCATAATTTCTCCTTCTGATAGTTTATTATTGGTATATACAAATCTTTTTTTTAATTTTTAACTTTATTGGGGAACAGTGTGTTTTTCCCAGGACCCATCAGCTGCAACAAGTTGTTGTTCTTCAAACTTAGTTGTGGAAGGTGCAGCTCAGTTCCAAGTTCAGTCGCCATTTTCAATCTATTAATAGTTTCGGGGGGCGCAGCCCACCATCCCCTTTGGGAGTCGAATTGGCAACCTTGTTATTAACAGCACATGCTGTAACCAACTGAGAACCATCCAGCCACCCATTGGCAGCTCAGCTCAAGGTGCTGTGTTCAATCTTAGTTGCGGGGGGCTCGGCCCACCATCCCATGGGGGAGTCGAACCGGCAATCTTGTTGTTAAGAGCACGTGCTCTAACCAACCGAGCCATCCAGGCACCCCATTTGGTGTTTCTTATAGTTTTTTTTATTTATAGTAACATACGGCAACCTAGAAAGTCAATGACCAAATGACCAAGCCTGATAATTACTACAAAATATTTTATACTTAGTTTTACTTTGTCACATTTCATAGTTCATCATAGTTTATCATTATTATTGTCAAACATTGCTTGAGTTCCTGCTATTAATAAATGATAGGATATCTGACCTTCAGGAGGTTGTATTATAGTTGAAAAAGATAAATGGAGAAATCTTCACAGACTTAAAGAATATCAAGTTAATAGATGGATATTCCACTTCCTGAACTATCTGATTAGTTCTAATGCTTCTGTAGACTTGTCACCTGTTCAGTTCCTTGTTTCACCTGTTAATTACTATAGCAAATGGTAGGTTTGGGTATGCTCCTCACTTCCTTTGTTCTTGCAGAATCCAAATTCTCAAAAAGTAAAAAAATGAATGAATGAATGAATAAATAAATAAATAGTGCCTGTGATGAGAGACTGCTGAGCCAGGACTTGATTTGAGTAGTTCCCTAAAAATTCGTTTAAATTGATATAGCAAAACTCTGGATCTCTGATGACTAACACGTAAGAATCTTTCTTGTTTCCTCTCTTTTCTCAATTCAGATTCAATTATCAGAAAATCATTTTGACTCAACCTTCAGAGTACCTACCAATTCTGGATCACTTCTTCCCATTTCCAAGGCTACAACCCTAATCCATACCTTCCTCATTTTAGCCTGGACTGCTATGATAGCCCCTAACTTGTCTCTCTGCCTTCCTCTTACCCAACTACAATCAGTCTATTCTCAACCTAATGGCTAGATCTTGCAGCACTCCTGCTTACAACCTTTCAGTGGTCCCATGACATTTAGAATAGAACCCAGACTCTTTACCATAGTCTACGGGGACTTCTGTCCTGGCCTCTATCAGCTTCTCATTCATCTCCCTCCATTACTTGTAAAGTTCCATCGATCTTGGAACTTTCTGGTTCTGGAGCCAGAAATTGCTGCTCTGCTACTTATTAGAAATTATTAATTTCTAATTAGAAATTATTTAATTTCTTTGTGCTTTGGTTCCTTCCATTGTAACATGTGCCTAATAATAGTATCTACCTCATACTATGGGATTAGAATTAAATAGGTTAATATATCTAAAATGCTTAGAACAATAACTGGTATGTACTAAGCATTCAGTATATGTTAGCTATTCTCACCATCATCATTGTCATCATCCCCATCACATCATCATCTTTGCATGGGCCTTCTCAACTGCCAAAAACACAGACAGGTCTTTCTCAACCAATCTAACAAAAGCAACCCACTTGGTCATTCTCTATACATTCCTACTTTTTTTCTTTAACAGTTTCTATACCTGAAATTATTTTCTTCCTTTCTCTTTCACTTATAATTCTCTAACTTCTTAAATTAGAAACAAGTGATTATATTAAATACTCATTTTATCAATGTAGAAGTTCTTTTTCCCCTTAAGGATAAATTTATTATTATTATTATTGTTATTATTTGGTTTTCATATTTTTTCACACAGGAAAAATTATATCCATATTTAATCAATTATTGATATTTTGCTTTTATTGATGGAATAACATGAACTAGAACATTTTATATTAGTCTGAATATTGTAAATGATCTATGAAAAAATTTGGTAAGTATAAGAAGATAGTGTTGATCCTTGTTAATCAAAGTGTGATTCCTTGACTGACAGCATGCTTGGGAGCTTATTTAAAATCTCAGGCCTCATCCTAGACACCCACCGAATCAGAATACCCATGTGGTTTGAGAACCACTATACAGATTCTAGGATTATTTAATTATGAAGTTAAGTTGCAGTTTTCTTGAATTTTTCCTTTATATACTTAGTGAAATTTACCTTGCTTGTGTTTTCAAAGGAATAATCACACTCTCTTTGGTGTTCTAAATTATACTAAGACACCTGGAGGGAGCAGAAGACTTCGTTCTAATATATTAGAGCCTCTAATTGATATTGAAACTATTAACATGAGATTAGATTGTGTTCAAGAATTACTTCAAGATGAGGAACTGTTTTTTGGACTTCAGTCAGGTAAATGGATATCATCTAATTTAATAAATACAAACTACTAGGAAAAAATACATTGTCTTCTTTTAAGAATACCAGTCATATTAAATAAATTAAGTCCCACCCTAATGACTACATCTTAACTTGATTACATCTGCAAAGATCCAATTTCCAAATGAGATCACATTCCCAGGCACCACAGGTTAGGACTTCAAAATATCTTATTTGGGGATGCAGTCCAACCTATAACATGAGGCCATAGAATTGCCCTTGGCACCTTTCTGTTTCTTCACTGTCATGACAGTGCAATTTTCTTCTTAAACCTATAGGTGGAAGAACAATTTATATGCATTGTTCTTAGTCCAAGTACTGATTTTTAATAGCTTGGTCTTTCTTCCATATCCCCATTCTCTAACCACCCCTCCTAGTATTCCAGTAGTGTAAACGAAAGTGGTACGTGAAAACCTGGAATTGTTTTTCCTCAGTCCAATTCCAAATGCCTTTTAGTTAGTATAATTCCTTCAGCATTCTGGCATTATATTGACTGTGACTCTGCATTTCCAATGTTGTTGAATATATTCACTTTTTCTATATATTCCAGTATATTTAATGAGACTTTGGGAAAGGTACAAGGAGGCCATTTTTAACTAGTAACCCTTTTCTTGTTGTTCACAGCAACATTTTGTTGGCCTATTTTATACCTGGCATTCTGTGTAATACATAAGTGCCAGGAATAGTAAAAGTTATTTAATCATATAATGTTAGTCAAGTGCCAACCATTTCTATATTTTCTATATGTTGACAGTTTGTAATTTATCTTAGCATTTAAAAATTAGGGGAGCATGAGCACAGAACAGGGTGGGAGGGTAATTTTTATAATTTATTAAAATATGAGAATCTAAACCTCTTTAAAAAAACCCAGTAATTGCTTTATTGTAGTAGGCATTTTGTAAGTATTAGAGATAAAAAGTTGAGGAATATAAAGCTGTGAGTCTTTGTCCTCAAGGATCTTATATTCATGTTAGGGAAACAGAACTCTAAACATATGGTACAATGTGGTAAATGCATTAATAATTGAGTATTTATTTATGGGAACACAGAGATGGGAGCTGGAATAAAGATAGAATCCAGGTGGGATTCACAGAGACAATATTTCAGTCTGTCTTAAGAGAATGAGTAGGATTTTGACAACAGGAGAATCCTAGAAATAATATTCAAGATAAAGGGGACATGCCTATGCAAGGTATGTTGATGTGCATAGGGGTAACAAAAATATTTTTTAGTAGTGGTGGCTGGGATAAAGATCAGGTGTAAGTGCCATTGGCTGTGAGGTTGAACAGTTATTACTTTTTAGTGTACACTTGTTACCTGGGATGTTGGGAAAGGTAGAGTTAACATAAGCTTCTGCAGCTATATGTGTGTTGTTATAATACAGCTTGCTGCATTTAAGGCATGACCAGTGGTTATTTATGACTGAAGCCTTGGGGAATGACAGGAAATGAGCATTGGGGCTAACTTATGAAGGGCCTTTATATAATGCTAAGGAATTTGGATTTTATCCTGCAGGAAATAGGGAGCAGACAATTTTGAACCAAGAGAATAATCTGATCAAATCCTTGATTTAGAAACATCCTGGTTGTTATGAGAGATTTGGGGAAAGGAAGAAGGAAGAGAATGAAAAAGAGAAAGGCCAATCTAAGTGAGGGTGTTAAGAGAATCTGACTAGTGGAATCACATGTAAAATGTCATATTAGTGTTACGTCATACTGAACAGTATAATAGTAGTATACTCAGTCTATTTACTCTAATGGTTAAAACTGTTTTAACATAATTTACCGAAGCAACAAATTAGAAAAGGGCACAATTCTAGAGGTAGGCAAACTGGAAACTATAAAAAGATACTGAGTAGTTTGAACAGGAACCAAGTGACATAGAAATTGTTTTTTAAAGGATAACAGGTTGGGACCACTTTGTAAAGTATCAATGTCTACACAAAAACTATATTTTTTTAAAGATTTTATTGGGGAATTGGGGGAGGGGAACAGACAAGTTGCTGTCCTTTTGTTCTTCAGTTTAGTTGTGGAGGACATCGCTTCACTGGCCCATGTTGGTATTATTGCGCTCTTCCTGGGTGAGGCAGTCGCTCACTGGCCATTGGATGGCCGCTCACGGTGGCTTGGCAGCTCACGAAAGCGCATGCCTGCTGCCGGCCAGCCCCACTGCAGCCTATGCCATCGCCAGCAACTCACAGCAGTCCAGCTCCAGGTTGAGCTGTTGTTCACCATCTTAGCTGTAGAGGGCGCAGCGTCACTGGCCCTCATAAGTGGGATCCAAACTGGGGCCCTGCTGCTCAGAGCTGGTGTCCCAAGCCAACTCCTAACCAACGCGCCACACGGCCGGCCCCACAAAAACTTTTGAGGTCACACATTATAATGATGATAATAACCATGAGTCATTAAGAAATAGTAGTTACTGCAGTTTACTATATATTTTAAGTATGGGGAAAAGAGTGCATTATTAAAAGATCTGCATATTAAATGGTTAAGGTAAAAAAACAAAGTCAAAAACAACCTAGGGATATTTAAAAGGGATAGATTATAATTATCTATAAATTTACTTTTATGGACTAAGGTGGAAAATGAGTTAAGGAAAATAAAATAACAATTTTGAGCTCTGCTATGTGCAAGATACTTTACATATATTATCTCACTTAATACAACAACCGTAGGAGACAGATGTCATTATCCACATTTAAAAGATGAGAACAGCTAAAGTTCAGAGAAGTTACATAACTTCTAGAACAGCGGTTCTCAGCCTGTGGGTCGTGACCCCTTTGGGGGTCGAACGACCCTTTCACAGGGGTTGCCTAAGACCATCGGAAAACAAAAAGATATTTACATTACGATTCATAACAGTAGCAAAATTACAGTTATAGAGTAGCAACGAAAATAATTTTATAGTTGGGGGTCACCACAAGAGGAACTGTATTAAGGGGTCGCAGTATTAGGAAGGTTGAGAACCGCTGTTCTAAAAGATTACATGGTTAGTGTTTGAACTATACTTTTAATCTTTTTTAAGTGTCAGGAAGAAAAGTTCAGAGATCGAAAAAGTGGAAAGGAAATTATGTTAAGCAACATCTAAAACCCAGAGAAGTAGAATTTCAAGAAGGAAGGGGCAATTAACAATGTTATATTTTGAATACAGATTGTGAATAGTCAAAATTAAGAAAAGACCATTAGGCTATATTGTTTTATTCCTGGCACTTGTAAGATAGATAAAGACAATTAAAACAAGTAATATATGCAGGTAGAACTGTTCTATTTTAGTATTTGAGGATAGTTTATATAATATATATTTTAAACTGTAACAAAGTTTAAATGCTAATATTTTTTGTTTGTTTCAGTTATATCAAGATTTCTTGATACTGAGCAGCTTCTTTCTGTTTTAGTCCAAATTCCAAAGCAAGACACGGTATGTTTATGTATACATTATATTATATTATTATACATTATGTGATATAACTTGTCTTAATGTGATATAACAATTGGAAAACATAAAAATGATTTGGAAAAGTACTTCATTATTAATATCTAGGTTTTTCAATACCTTTTTTTTTTTTTTTTTGGGTGTGTGTGTGAGTTTTGCTTTTGTTTTTGTTTTTTTTTTTAAAGATTTTATTGGGGAATTGGGAGAGGGGAACAGCGCTGGGGAATTGGGGGAAGGGAAACAGACAAGTTGCTGTCGTTTTGTTCTTCTGTCTAGTTGTGGAGGACGTCGCTTCAGTGGCCCATGTTGGTATTATCATTGCGCTCTTCCTGGATGAGGCAGTATGGTCGCCGGCTTCTGGACGGCCGCTCACGGTGGCCCTTGGCAGCTCACACCGGCTGCCTGCCGCTCATGCTGGCTGCCGGCCACACACGGTAGCTTATGGCAGCCCACTGCAGCAGGGCCTGCAGCCTACGCTGTCGCCGGCGACTCACGGTAGCCCAGCTCCAGGTCGAGCTGTTGTTCACCATCTTAGCTGTAGAGGGCAGTGTCTCTGGCCCTCATGTGGGATCCAAACCGGGGCCCTGCTGATCAGAGCTGGCGTCCCAAGCCAGCTCTTAAGCAACGTGCCACTCGGCCGGCCCTTCAATGCCTTTTGAAGCAAACTTTTTGCCCCCAATGTGTGTGTTATAGTAAAATTAAAATGTTCTCATTTGAAGAATTGGCATATTTTCATTAACCAAATATTTATTTAAAGAGTTTATATGTAATTTGAAAAAAAAACTTAGACTACAGTAACATTTGCTAACATTTGATTAGTTTTTAAATATGCTTAATCTTTAAGAATGAAACATCTTTGGATATTTTTCAAATTTAAATATTTAGTGCTTATAGGCATATCTTTTAAAGAAAGTAATAGATGGTTTTTATTCTTCCATTTAATTGAAAAATACTGTAATGAAAAGACATGTATATTTTTGTTCATAAGCTTAGAAAGGAAAGAAGTCTTGTACATCAATAAAATTTGATTTAAAATTTGATTACTTTGCAAAGCCATTGAAGGCTAATCTATGTTTGGGAAGTCTTTCCATATTGTAGCGATAACACCCTCACCTCCCTCCCTCCTTTCTTTAAGTTAATGGGTTTTTTTTATTGAAAAAAAATAAAAAGACTAGCATTTGCAACTTAGAATGGACGTAAATTGTAATTTCTTGAACATCAGTATTGGTGGTTGTGCTGAAGTCCACAGCCATAGCCTACCTCTGCTGGCTCCGAGTCATGGTTCATAAAGTTTTAAAAACAGAGAGTTCAAAGATGCCCCCATGGTAAAAGTTTCTTTAAAAATTTGTGTGAACAGTGACAGCCTGACACCCATTTTGCTCCAGTACAATGCAGACAACGCTAAACTGACACATGTGGGCATGCCACCAGGGTGTCACCGTCACCACGGGTCAAGGCCCATGGAAGTATAAGGGGACCATCGTGCTAGTGGGGCTATGTCTAGACAGTTTATTCTTCACCCATTTTTCTACACACATCTTCACGTAAACCAATTTTAAGTGTTTGCTTTCACTAAACCAGCTATGACGATTTACGTGTATACTAACAAACTGAACTAGAACCTACTTGAATAGGTTTTGAATTTGTTTTTCATTTTTCATTTTAATACAAATGCCTATGTTCAGTTGTCAAGCTGCATGCATGAAACAGTGGCCAGCCCAAACAGTGTGTTAATCTTTAGCAAATGAACTGTGAGGAGTCTACTAAGGGCTTCCTTATTATTAAGCTAGTACAAGTACTTATACTTTACAACTGATGTGTAGCTTGATCTTTAGGGGACAGGACCACTGACCAATACATGTAGGATTTTTGTGTGTGTGGACATAAGCTACTTTTTTTTTTTTAAAGATTTTATTGGGGAATTGGGGAAGGGGAACATTGTGTTTTTCCAGGACCCATCAGCTCCAAGTCAAGTTGTTCTCCTTCATTCTTAGTTGTGGTGGGCACAAGCTCAGCTCCA